CAGTGATGGCATAGCTTTGTGACTGCATAGACTTCCTGTTCCTCCTGTTTATTCCAAGACTCTAGAGTTCTGCAGTTACCCTAGATCCACGCCAGGTCTCTTTTGGCACTACCGCTTGTGTCCATGCAGGGGAGCAAAGTGTAGTAGTCTGACAGACAGGTAAGCCTCTGCTGTCTCTCTACAATGCACTAGATATGGCCTCAGGCAAGCAGCAAACTCCCAAAACAGCAGGTCTGATGGACAGGTGGATGCCTTCATCCCCTTGCAGAAGGAAATTCCGGACTGTTACCTATCACTTTCTTTCAGCAGCATTGGCTCCAACAGCTTGGCTAGATGCATCCCCCAACAGAACTTATTCCCTCTGTCCTTTTGCCAGGGCCCTACAGTTTTCCAAGTAAACATCTGGTCGGAGAAAAAGCTTTCTTGCAGCCAGAAGTCACAAGCTTCCAGCTTCTGCTGTCATGGGAATCCCAGCCCTCTCCCTGCTTAAGCACTGCCTCTGATCATCCCCTCCTTCTGTGCAAAGCGGGACTTTGCTCCTGCAGTGTCCACAAAGTACCTTTGCTGTTGCCCCTCCGTCTGCCTCTGGCCTCCCTGTTCACCCCATTCCCCTTTAACTCCACAGGCACATGCTGGCCGCAGTGCTTCCTAGGTGTCGTGTCGGAAGCCGAACCCACGCCTGCTTCAGCAGGCAGCTTCTCCAAGTCTCTCAGTTCTTGGTTGTGGTTCTCCTACCTCATGAATGCCATGTCCCCACAGGATGGCTCCTTTCTCCCACTGTGCTCAGAACAGGAAGCAAAAACCTGACACACCTGCTTCGTCCCCATTAAATTTCCTGCTCAGTGTGCAACTCCTCACATTGCCTTTTGGCTTCCAGCTGTGGTTCATTCACCTTATGAGCATCAGGTCCACATCCTTTCTCCTGCACTGTGCTTACAAAGCTTTAAAAAGCTTTTTTGATCAGCTTTTAAAACTTTTGTTCCCCTAGCCTGTGTGACACACACACTTTGAAAGATGAAAAACCACAACACTACGAGCAGCCAACACAGTTCATTCAGCAAAGCAAACGTCCCCCAAAGTAACCTTTTAATTATACGCTCATGTTTGTCGTGATCTCTGTACTGTTCCACAGCTACTCTACAATGCTTGAAGATTGCACTGGCAAAAAAGAATGAACTTCCATGTTCTTTCCCTACTTAAAATTTGCTATCGATTTTTATTGGTGACCTTACCCCTGGAAGATGCACATTCAGTGCCACACAGGACTTAGCTACTGAGGTCATTCATCTCAAAGCATGGGAGGGAATAATTCACAGCACATTTTTGAACAGAAAGTCACGTGCCTCTGAAATATATTTAGAAGAATAAATGATTTGGAAAAAAGTTACAGAGAAAGTTTAAAGCTGTGATTGACATTACAGACATACTCAAACACCACACTGCACGCAGGGCAAGTAAATGTACTTTTCCCTTTCTTCTGTATTTAAAGTCACATCTGTAACAACTTTTAGTACCTCAGCACTCACAAAAACAGTGATTATAAAAGCTACTGGGCTTTTCTTTTCTTTTTAATTAGGAGAATTTAGAACTGTTCATGATACATGAACTAAGGAACTGACACTTTCAGTGTTCACTGCATTTCTCTCAGAGGTTCAAATTTTGGGTAACTCATTGATCTTGAATACCCAAGTTCCTTTTTTGGTAGGAATCAAAGTCGGTCATGCCTCAAATTACTTTTCTGCAATACTGCATTATAGTTAGTCTGCAGGGGATTTTGCTTCAAGATCACTTACAAGTCAACCAAAACTGCATCTCTCTTGGTTCAATTAAAATTTCCCACTTGGCCCTAGCTTACAAGGAAAACGTCAAAAAGTCCTACCAAAAAAAATACATTCTATGTCTGGCGTTTCAGAAATTAACATTAAACACTGCAGTCATCTTGCTAAGATATAACTCCTGCTGCCTTGACAATGCTAAAAACAGAAGTTCAAGTTAGCTCTGTCTATAACCAGGCAGAAATAGCCAGAGATATTTTCTCTCCTAGAAAGGAGGCTGAGCTTTGTAGAAAGCATTTCTTCAGTGACAATTATTATGCTTAAAACAAAACAAAAAAAACCCCAACAACAAAAACACAGAAAAGCTACCCCTTACTTTTTATCATCATCATCTCACTCACCCCTACCAGTTTTAAGTGTCCTTTAAGCTTGCGGAAGAGCTAGATATATAGCCTAAAATCTGAACTACGCTGCTTTGGGAAGCACTAAAAGTTTTTTGTTAATCTGTTTTTGGTTTAAAATTCTGATCAGCATAAATGTCTAGCAGGTCTAGCTGTTGCTGCAGCAGGAGTGGAAACTAGCAACTCCACTACAAAAAAAACAAAAAACAAAAACAACAAAAAAACCTAACAGGCACCATTTTTATAGTTCTTCAGCCTCACCATACTAATAGTATGTAACTGTCATCAATAGCACAGTCCTTCAACATTTACAGGAGTAAAAAAAAAAAAAAATCCACAAATTGCAAAGTCCGAGTGTTTAAACAAAGCATGTTTCTAAACAGATCTAACTGCTACAAAACTGTGCAGACCAGTCGTAAATGCCTTTCTCAGCTGCTTCCTTCTCCATCCACAAAGAGGACTGGGAAAAGAGAGAATCAACACAGAAGAACAGTTGAACAGGAACATTCCCATCTATGAATCAACAACCAGAGCCCTGTCTTAACTGACAAACGAGGTCAGATTTTCAATGCATTAGGTCCTTTAGGGACGATAGGAATGAGCCTAATCTAGAATACCAAGCAACATGGTTTGAAACGTACAGCAAATCACACATTCCAGAGGGCTTAGCTTTTCAATTATGCATAAGTAACTCAGCTGAACTAACACAGCAATCAACAAATTCTGCCAATCAAGATAGGGTTTTGTTTTTCTTCTTCTGTTGACTCAAACTATCTGACAACATACACCGATACCGGGAACTTTAAAAAGTCTGACTAGGATGAGGCTGAATTAATCAACTGCAAGAACTGCAGAATCCTTTGGGCTTGAAAACACCAAACATGCATAATCAGTGTGGGCTAACTCTGAAAAAAAACATACTTAAGGAAAACCCTCAAAACCCACAGGGCTTCCTGCATTTCCTAACCCTTCAGATTTTCATTTCAAGGAGTCTCAAAACTACAATTTAGCCAGCAGAGTAGCTTTATTTTGCTATTTGAACTATTATACACAACTGAGTAAAAGCCCACAGGATAAACAGTGTGGAGACTTGCAGCTTTTTGGTGTTTGCTTAAATTAGAGCCTAAGTGCAAGGTCTGCAATTAACCCTCCAAGGTAAGAGGACAAAACTGCTGTTAACAAAAGTCACGTTAAGACTTAAAAATATCTAATCAGTTATTTAAAAGGCCACATCTTCAAATGCAATTAGATATCATTTAATAAACTTATCTTCTTTTGCTATAATAAACTGCCACAAATCATATCACTAACAGGTAATGGAATATCATGTTTTCCCAGAGACATGTAAAACGCAAATAGGGCTGCCTCTGTATTATTCCATCCACCTTGAAAATGCAGTGCCATAAATTAACTTCCACTTGAACATCTGAGAAGAATTGAATGTCCTTCAGACATGCTGTCACTCTCCTTAAAAATCAAAACAAAACAAACTTGCAAATAATACCTTGAGGCACAGGTTCTCCTACACTTAAAGGAATTTATATACAAGGTGTATCACATATTACAAGATTTTTGCTATTTGAAGGCTATGGCACATAGATTTTTGGGGTGAGAAAAAAAAAATCTCTCCTCTGTGTTCAGCTGCTACAGTATGGCACAAAGTGAGAAGTTAACAACCATGACTAATACTCTGTTGCTTTTTGCTGGCTATTTTGGGGTACACATAAATAAAAGGCACACTTTTCCTCTCTCCTTTCAAATGACCTAGGTACTGTACAAACATAAATTTCCAGCACTGTTCCATGCCTGCTGGCCCAGTGCAAAAAAGATCTAAGTCTGCATCCAATGCTAGTAGCAGCTCTTCTATATGCTTAACCAATGGCTTTAGTTTAGCATGCTGCTTCTGAGATGGGCACTGATGAGAGGCTAACAGTTTTCCTGAAACAAAATTACAAAGCCTAAAAAAGTGATTAAGTCATTTATATTCACTTACATTATATTTCCAACAAATATGTGTTCACAATGTTCAGAAAGTGCTCATTTTGAAGTCTTGTTTCAGTATTACAAATGTCCATGACCTATATATTATAGCAGCGCCATGCACAACAGTATCGTTAAGGAACTGTCAGTGTTTCCATTACTGACCTTGTTTTTCAAGAGCATAATGAAAACAGAAAAATTTGCTCTTAGCTAGAACTTAGTGTGCATAATGTCTTCAGTATGGTATTTTTCGATATTTGGATTTAAATCTGTACAGTAGTCAGAGTCTGAAAACGAAGGTTAGTGCTTTCACACTTTTTGGCGCTCGTTTTGACATAACAAAGATTTTAAAGAATGAAAGTGAGCCAACAGCAAATGAAGAGCCCTCAATAATAAAAGCTCCACAAATCATCAACTAAAATCTTCTTGGATTTTTGTCCTGTTTTTAATGCTGTGCATTAATAATTTGTGGATCCTTACAGAATTACTTCTTATGATTTAACAACTGTTAACATTGATGAAATTATCATACGTAAAAACAGCTTAGGTCTTAACATCAATGGTCTGACAAACACATTTAAACAAGAATATTTAAACAAAATTCAACTCCTCTGAATAGATTTGTGAGTTTAGATATTCTCAACTTGATATGCCTTAAAAAAAAAAAAGTCTGACTTTCAGAAAATTCTGAAAAACAGCAGTTTCAAGTAAGTCTGGAGCGATTAAGTCCTGTGGCTAGATTTACCATAAATTATGTAATTCATGCTGACTTTACAAAATTGAGTTAACAGAAGTGTAAGTTGAAGCACTACCTCTGAAGGTTCTTGCTTTGGTTATCTCTAAAAAAAAAAAAAAAAAAAAAAAAAAAAAATTCAGGCTATTACAATAACAGTGTAAGTTCATTATAAAGCCACATGCTTCTGTGTAGATGTTCTCTTATAGACTGGATTATTATGCCCACTGCCAGCAATGGACATTCTGCTGGGAAAAACCAGCTCCTGGTGTGAAAAGTTTGGCTGAATCAAATGAAAAAAATAATTCTGATATCAGACTCAAATGGGAACACACTGTTTCATTTAGTTCTTGTCAAGAATATTTGACAGCCCTCTCCACTGAGAGTCTTCTTGAAACACAAGGCACAAATAAGGAGTGGACATTCCAGCAAAAAATGATTGTCTGAAATTAACGGTCCACAAGAGTCTTCCAATCCAACACAATGAAACATTTTTGCCGTCCAACTCTATGCCACATCTTCTAAATAATCTGCAACATCACTTAACTGAGAAATGGTAAGGTCTTGTGTGATGTCTTCAAGCTGCAAAAGAAATGAAATTACAAATTCAAAAGTCGGAAACAGTAAGTATTACTCTATATAATTCTACAGGAAGCACCCCATCCTTTTGGCCTTAAAGCCTTATCTTTCAGAGGGATGTCAGCTCCTTCAGGAGGTGCTTAGGTATATCTTGAGATATAGGGATGAGACATTCAGGTGTTGAGTACTAAGACACCCTCAAATACATTTTATATGCCTAGAAACAGATGGCGGACTGTCTTACTGAGCAATTGCTGTCTTTTAAATCAGTACAGCATCTAACTTAATGGGAACACTGGGTATAAAAATGCAGAATATAGATAATACAACTTTAACATGTATCCAAGGAACTTATGATAATGGCATATTTATTCACAGAAGGCAAAACAGCAAACAACAAACAACCCAAACACAACATCAGGAGAATATCAATACAATTTTAAGAATCATACTTTATCACTGGCATTCAAGTCTTCTGTTTCCACAGAAATTTCATCTATTTCTTCACCAATACTGATATCACTTTTTTCTGAGCGATGACTAGTACTAGAGAAAGAAAAGCATAAAGATAGAAATAGCCCTTTCTTTTCCAACATACAAAAATTAATTTCATATATCTATACTGGGCATTGGATTTGACTACCTAGCAAATTAAATATGAAGTGTTTTTTAAAAAGTCCACAGCAACCAAAGCCCTTGGCCTAGAGAAAGCCGTGATCAATGCTTACTTAGGTCTCAGGGCTGAAGTTTACAGCACAAATATATTAGAAGAATGAGGCTCTTACAATATTTTATTACTGACTAGTCATGATGCTTTATTTTGTATATTTTGAATAATTCCGCATAGACCACGTTATTGTCCAATAGCATTAATTAAAATGTTAAAACATAATTAAGTTCAGTGATAAAAGAAACAAACTCCTTAAAAAGGCAACAACTTTTCAGCATCTTAAAATTAATAGCAGGTTTTTAAGGAACTCATTACTATCTACACAAAAGCAATCTATTTTTTAAAATTGTAACTATTTGAATTAATTAACAAACTGAAGTTTAAAGGATTCCAGAGATACTGACAGAGTCCAGCAGTAGTGACTAGCTAAAATATTATGAAGTAAATCAAGTATGCCAGTATATGTTTATAACCTACGATATAGTACACTTTTGCAATATTATCCCTCTCTTACCTGTTGAAGTCATCAGCATACTCATCTTCATCTCCATTTCCTAAATAATTTTTAAGAGGTGTTAATCAAACAAGTTTTGTTTTCAGGAAACATGAGAATCTATTCCTGTGCCAAAACATAGAGTTTGATGGACAGCAATAGCTGGTAGTAGATTAAATTACTTGTGCAGATTAGGAAGAGAAACTGAATTTATGCTTCAGATTAGTTAATCTGGATCTCTTTTGCATAGTTAAACTGTTTTAGGGTTCAACCCAAACTTTCGTAGGGTTCAACCAATACTTTCAGAGGGCTGGTTCCACTGCTGAAGACAAGGTTTAAGTACTTAGTAGCTCTATTTTGAGACAGAGTGATCCTTCTGACATCACAACATCATCATGTTGCTGCTAAAACTTACTAGACAGCTTTCAAAGTCTGTGAAAGGCAAATAGTTATGCCACTGAAAAATAGTAAGACTTGTCTGGCTACCTTTTATGCAAGTCGAAAAAGTACATTTCAGTTTCTGAGATTCCAGAGAAGCTGGGCTGAAACTTCTAGTTAAAAATATCAGAGCTTACTCATGTTTAGCAGTTACTTGCCTAATTCTAGAGATCCAAGTTTTGCATTCACTAACCGCAGGTCTTTCAAAACAGAGTTTCTATCCAAATCTGTAACAAAATAAAAAGTATTTATACCAGAAAATTGGCTTGTGACTTTTTGATAGTAAGACCCTACTTAAACACATCAATCAACCATCTATAACAAGTGTTCTTTCATAATAACCTTAAATAATTTTATAATATAGTATGGTAATATTATATTCCATTTTCAGGTCCAGACTATGCCAACATTTAAAGACATAAGTAACAAACAGGAACAATCTCCCTGAGTGTATTCAGGATTAGGTTTTACAACACAGAAGTAAACATCCCTGAAGAACTTGCACAAACAACTTAGGGTAACAATAAAAAAGACTAAGTTAATCTCATTTAAAAAATGAACATGAATGAATGTTATACATCCAAAAACTGCTTTTCAGAAAAGAAGTATAGATAAATATTTGATACTCCAAAACATATGTAACAAAAAATGAGTGTGTCATCACTTAGCGAAAAATGCATTATTGCAAAGCACATTACAACCAGAAGAGGGCCAAATATAGGCTACTTGAGCACAGTTATATCTGAATGTGTAAGCTCATTCACTTAATTACGTTATGGGAAATATTCCCTGCACTTGTCAAACTTACCATCAGGCTCCTTTAGCAAAGATGCGTTAGTCAGGGAGCTTAACCCACTTTTTAAAGGTGGTGCATCAGAAAGAGATGCTAAACCTCCTGCTTTATTGGATTCAGTTTTCCTAAAACAAACCAACAAACAAAAAAGTACTCTGCAGATCTTCAAAATATATGGTAACTTTATTTTCTATTATTCATAAAATTATCATGAAACTAGACAGCAATTTTTGCAGTAACAAGAGCAAATGAGAAGGACTATTCACTCCGCAATCTAAAAAAATAATGGGTAGTTTGCTGGCAAAAGCGTGAAGCAAGACACTCAATAAGAAATTCACCTATGCCAAGACTTCCACCTGCCTTCTTTCAGAAAGAGTTCCTGCACCTTCCTCAGCATCTTTTTTTTTTTTCCCCCTCCTCAATTCGAGGGCCTTTTATTATCCCCACATATAAAAGCAGCCAAAAGAAGACAGATTCAGGTATAAATCCATTTTTAAGTTAGTTTGTTTTACTATTAAAAGATTTTGTCTGACAAACCTATTAACCCTAAGAGCCTTCAGTCCATAGAATGAAAATAGCTCTCAAAATTATAGCCAGATTGATCTCCTCACCATCTGTTAAAGTTCACTTGGCTACCATCTATTGCATTCACACATTTAAAATGTCAAGTTCAAATACTACTTGCAAATAAAGGATGAAGAAACACTATTAAAAAAAGGATCAAGATTTTCACGTTCAGTATTACCAGAACTCTTTGTTATTGCGATTGTGTTCCTATTAGTAATAGGCAATATCATTTGAATCACTCATCAAGAAAAATATATCTTGTATTACAGCACTTCAAAACTCTTGAACCACAGGTCAGAGAATGAGGGGAAAGGCAGAGCCTGGGTCATCTCTTACTCTTTCCTTGATAAGTGCCTGCTCCTTTCCTCTCTAACAAGCCCTTCTTACAAAGGGACAAAACTGTCCATAAAGAATTCACCCTTTTGCGAACTAAGTGATACTGGCACCTCTTCTATCCACTCATCCCCTGAGACTCAGGCCACCAGCACAACACAGCATAAAAGGATTTCACTTGAAGAATCTGTTCTTCTCTTCTCCTCTAGAGAAGATGTCAGGAGGGTAGAAACAGAAGGCGCAGCAGGGAGAGCTCAGTCACAATTAGTTGCTAGATCATTTACTATTTACATATTCAGCAAACCTTATTATGGAGGGTGTTACTCTAACCTCTGTATCACAATCACATTATGAGGTACACACCTGCTAATTTATAGACTGGGACTATACTACAGACATACAACTTGGAAATCACTTTTTCTGTCAGGGAGATTCTGGATTAGGAAAAGCCTTATTTTATAGAATATTTCGGAATCTTTTTCTTGAGCGGGTCTTTTCAAACAGGAATTAAAGAAATGCAGTTTACTCCGTTCAAAAGTGCATTTCCGTTGTTGTCACATGAAAATGCTTGAGCAATAAAAAAAAATAGATACTATTATTCAAAAGTTACTGTTTGGCTTTTTCTGCTTCTACCATCTGACCTGCACCCCCTGCATCAGTTTAAAACAAAGAAATAAACATATACCCTCAAACAATGAGATGAACTTGCAGGACAAAACATAATAATTTGAAGTGACTTTGTTTTTTTAAATCCCACAACAATCTCAAATACAGTATCTGAAGAACTTAATTCCTTTAAGAATCTTCAGTTTAAAATTCAATAACTAGATTTTCAATATTCCCAACTATCATTGAATCCCATTATATAGTAACATAACCAGTTATATTAATGGTTAGATTTTGGTTAACAAATAGTTAACCGAGCTCTTGAATAAGCAGGACTAAATGTACCCATAGATGCAACTTTAATTCTGATATTTCTAATTAAAGAAAAAGAAAGAAAAAAATACTACCATAGTAGGGTTATTTGCACTACACAATATTTTCCACAGAAAAATCACTGTTCTTTGAAGAGAAAAAACAAACCCCCCCCACATTCTGCTCTTTATATACATTCAACCAAAAATGTGTTACAAATAATCTTTTTCTCAAACAATCCATTCATTTATTAGGAAGAGTTAGCTTATCTGGTATGATTGCTTTGTGCTATACCAGAATGATCCCATTCTAAGAGTGAACATCTACTGTAGCACTCTCACAAAAAAAGTTTATACTTTTCTACCTACCTATGTAGCTGGGGGGAAAAACAGAGAGCATGAGGGTAACTACTGCTAGACTGATTTGAAAATGTTTCTGTAACTTCTTGTGGTAACCTATAGCAAATTGGAATAATCCTCAGGTTACTTGGTCACAGCAGCACAACACTATGAAATGATCTTTCGGCCTTTGTCAGTAGATACAGCCAGGATAAGTTTAAAGAGATCTTTGCGTTATCCTATCAGAGCTTCTGTACTGTTATGTTGCACAGTTCTGTTACGCAACTGTTGTACAGTTCAATCTTACAGCTTCTTGTTTCAGATCAAATTTATCAGTCCTCGTCACACACAGAACAGCAATAAAAACCACTCTTCAGAAACGTCTGCGAAATTGACATACGCAGAAAGAATAACGCTTTGCTGAAAACATAAAAATGCACACAAAAGGTACTGCAATGTGAAGTGGAAATCCACAATCCATATAGTCTATGAAGCCAGTACATACATGTTAGTCAAATACTTTGTGCTCCTTACAAAAATCACACACACATCTAAAACGCCATCCCTTCCATTTTTCCTCTTCCTTTAGTACTGACCACAACTGCAGCTCTGCTGCAGAAAGCAGCACAGGGGTCTGTGCCTCAGACATGTTCTTTCCACCAAAGAACAGGCTGGGGACATTATGCAGTTTAACTTACGCACCGTGAAGAGACGCACGTCTGTTACTCATGGTACACACTAACTGGAGCAGCCAGGTTACTCACCAGCCGTAAGTTCGTTCCGGTTTGGGGATGGGATCATCAAAAAAAGAATCTCCCTCTACGTCATCCTCATCCACACCTGGATCACTTTTTTCTTTGGTATTTAAATCTTTGTTTTGTAGTTGAGGACCTAACTTTGTTTCATTAGGCAGAAAATGAATACTACTTCTGGTTGCTTCCCCCGATGAGACACTGGTATCACTCTGAGTGGCTTCAGCAACCTTAAACAAATACAGAAAAAATCCTCACTGAAAAGAAAAAAGTAATTTCTCTTGAATAAAACCCATATAAACTGTCCTATTTTTTTAAAATACTGTAAGCAGTAGTATAAACACATAGCATATAATATATACATACCACCATTTTTTTTTTTTTTAAAAGGTTAGCATTTCAATTTTATTAGTACTTTGGTGTACCAATCAGGAATCATACAACAGAAAAATGTTTTGCCACTTTACAAAGGAAGAATTCCTTGTTGTTGCTATCACCTTTTAAAAGTTATTTTGTCCATCCTCTGCATAGCTGGGCTATCTAGATCAGCTATATTATAAAAGCAGCCAGTTTTTAAAGATGTAGGTTATCAAAAAACATTTACATACAAGCTCTGATTCTTACCTCCTATACTTTTTACAGTCTGAAAGTTACACTATGTGTGGAACATATTAACAACACTATTTATTAGTGGTATTTTGTGACTCCCTTATAAATAAATATTATCAGTTAAGTCAAAACCGTCTTCAAAAGAAATCAATTTAAATTCACGCAAAAGTCACTAACTTAAATTCATTCAATATACCTTCAAAAAATACCTTCAATTTCATGTGAAAAAAACCTAACATTTCAATTTCAGTAAGACTACGATTGTTAATTGCATATTTGAGATAGTTTAGAATGCACAAAGCCACAGAGAATCATACAATATTTTTCAGCTTTTTTTGATAGACCCCGCTGCTTCTTGAGAGCACCTCTGAATAAAGATCACAACCAAATGGGAAACTTTGCAATGTAATATTAGGTTCTGAGTGGCAAGGGTCTGAAGACTGCAATTAATTACACTTTTCCCATCCAAATATTAAAAACACAAGCCACCAAAAAAAGATACTTTAAATGCATGTAACTTTCAGTCTTTGTAACATGCTTACGGCTCAGTCCTACAGATACCATGCTTGTAAGGAGTATTCTATATACTAACTTTATGATCCAGTAACACAGGTCAAGTTATATAAGTTAAGTCTTTATAAAATCTTGTGGCCTAAAGAAGAATATTGAAATGATAATCAAATTGGTGTTACAAAACGCATTTGTGATTTTTGAACAGCAGCATATTGCTAACAAACAAACTGTAAGGCAATATTATCTTCTCCCACGTCGTTTAAAATTAAGCCAGCGAGAAGATTTGTTTCACAAACTCTTTTTTTTGCACTAACAGCAGCAATTTTGAAAGAAAACTAGTAACAGTATTGCTTAATCAAGATAACCAATATATAGATTGGACTGACCCATGTATTTCTTTATCAGTCATCATCATTCATTCCAAAGACCAAAGTAAGTTTTTTTTTTTTTTTTTTTTACCAAAGTAAGCCATAAAAGTTCAAAGAGGCCTACCAAGGTCATTTTACATCAGTCACAAACCACAGAACCACATTTAATTGCTGGCAGCAGCTCAGTTCTTCCAGGGCAAGAAAAAGAGTATTTATATCTATAAGTGGTAGATACAACAATATTCTAATTTCCTACCCTAGAGGAACAGAACTGTTGTCAGAAAATTAAATGCTTAGGGATAGGCTGACTGGTGTAGAACAAAAGAGGCAATTACAGCCTCTTTTCTGTTCTGGGCCCTGGAAGGAGCGAGCTGCTGCTCTCTCCTCTGAGAAACTGAAAGCACAAATCAGTCTTGGCTTGAACTCACCTATCTTAAAGCTACGCTAATGTGAAATGACTGCTTTCAAATTGTAGTGATTGGTTAACCATGGCTAAGGGTTCCAAGAAAAACATGCCTGCCTTGGGTTTCAGCCCAGTGCTGTTAATAAGATAAATGAAAGTGTGGGTTCACACTTGCACTTAAAGAATTGTGCAAGAATTCTCTCTCCTTGCACGCTCCCGTCTACATTACATCTCTTGGCTGCAGAGCCACAGCGTGAGCCGGTTCGGCTCACAGACTTGCTGGAAAACCACCAGAGAATCTCAAGTTTCAGTCGGAAAGTCTACACTGTTCAGATACACTTGCTCTAGTCAGGACTGGCTGTAATTTCCTCCTGCTATGTTATTTTTAGTACAAGTACATTGCATGGGCAGAATATTTCCCCATCCTGCTGCCCAGGAGTGAGGGGACCAATAAACTGGGTAACAGTTTTTCAGTTTAAGATAGCCACTACTTATTCTTAAAGGAGTATGTACTCCAACCAACAGCAGTTGCTGTTTCCATGAGAAAATCTAGTTATATTGAAACCAACTTTCTCCTGTATATAAGAAATACATATTCATGGCGGATTCGGTAATATATTATGAAAAGCATTTTGAGAACATATTAATCTATTTATCACTATGATGGAATTAAGGTCTGCTGGGTATAAAGAGTATAAAAAGCCTGACCATAAGTTCCAACTTACTTTACTTGTTGGAAAGTACATTCTACTTGCACCCCCATCACAAAATCCTAATTGGAAACAGCACATAAATAAAGTGTTCCAATCACCACATCAGCTGCTGCAGCATGCTAGCAACTCAGCTCTTAAGGGTGGTGTTCTCACTATGCACAACGTTCTCCTTAAAAGGGAAATACGGTTTGATGAATGACCTCTCATCATACTTTAACAGTTCTTGCTCAGAATAAGATACTGTCCATCTAGCAATTTCTCTATTAAGAGACAAACCTTAGAATCACTTTCTTGTTAAACACTATGTACTTACAGAGGATTAAATATATACACATTACAAAAAATAGAAAACTAAAAATAATATTAAGAAGAAAAAAAAATCATGCCACTACTGACCAAGCAGTCAGTCACTATCAGAACAGACTACAGAAAAAGTCGGAGAAGCCTTTACATCTGGGGACTGATGCATCTGGATAGTCAATAGCAGCCTGATAAGAATTCTGACAACCTCAATCCAGAGAGGAATACAAATGAATTACATAAAGTATCCCTTCCAGCCTCAACTACTCTGTGACTCTACAATATATTTTGGACTGTCCGGCTAAGTCCAACCACTGACAAACGGGTAGAAGCTTCTCCTAAACTGCACTGCAAAAAGCTTTGTGAAGAGCAGGCACACAGGAATGAAATTCTTATTAGATATCAGAGGTTTGACCAGCCTTGAGACACGCACACCCAAGAAAACCCATGTGAAATTACACTCAATTCATGAGCCATTGAAACTACTTTCTTTCGTCCTCCACCTTCCTATTTCTGAGGAAAAGTCATGTAACAAACACTTAGTTCTTCTCTTTGTGACATATCTACTTCAAATTCAGTAATTCAAACCTGAACATGAAAGGTGGTATATGCAAGGGAGCTTGGAACTTTTACAATTTCTAAATCCATCTTCAACAGTACTTCTTAACTAATCTAGAACTGCACTAAGACAAAAGCATGAGCTCAGTTACATACATTCAAGCAAGAGTATTACTAAGAGTTATATTTTAAAACAACAGCCGGATCTGTTTGTATGTTTCTAAAAGGGTGCTGCCAATCAAGAAATATTTTTTCCTAAAGCAGAACTTAAGGGACTACAATTTCTACTCAGGGGTCAATTGTTACAGAAATGCTAGCTGTTTAAGACACTATCAACAAGTTCAGCAATTAATGAAGTAACTTGTAGCCTTAAATCAAGTTTGCTTTTCTAATTGTGTCGTTTACTTGTTTGCCTTGCAAGAACAGAAAAGTGGACGGAAAAACCAAGCTGTCATTTTCTTTTCCTTTATCCTGTGACTCCCTCTCCCAAATAACCAGCTAACAACAAATCCCATATAATGCTATTTTTCTCAGCTTTTATTAGTGAGTTAGAAAGCTTTCAAGTTATTTCCAATAATCTAAAAAAAAGATATTAAAATATTTGATGTTGTCAGATTACATTAAAGTACTAAAGTTTGTTCAAATTGTTAATTACTTGTTTTGGAGTTGGTGAGTAGTTGGTTTCTTATGGAAAAGAGGCTTAAGTGAACACGGCCCTTTTCTGCACCCCACACTTCCCCATAACTTCTGAACCTGTTGATCAGTTCCAGTCAAAGGTAATGGAGCATTAGAGGTCTGGAAGATATCACTTCCTGTAGATTTTGTTTAAGTAGGAAGACAGAAGAAAAAGCCACAGGCCCTAAGAGAGTTTTGTCTTAACAGCTGATCAATTCCAAACAGCAGTCACCCACCAGTCAATCAGCAGACAAGTAGCTCCAACCTGTCACACATGCACACACAGTGTGCTGTCACCTGCCCAGTCAGATAGGTACAAACCTTGAGTTACTTCAGGGTGGGCAAGCATGCAGAGAACATGGAAAGGAAACAGTGAAGTGCTACAGAATACAGGACCCACTCTGTAAGAAAACTGGCTCCATTCTTTTTGCCGCTCATAAACAACTTGTTAGTATAAGCCATTTTTTTTCCTCTAAAGTTTAAAACACCAGCTAGCACCTTCTCCTCTCTTGCATTTTACCTGCTCACCCACCTTGCCCAAACACTTTTTCTGTTTATGAAGTCCTTTATAATATGGTATCTGAGCACAAGAATAGAATAGTAGAAGTACAAAAAAATGAAAGACAATTACAGATCATGCAAGCCACTGCTTTTCTATATAAGGATAATTAAATTACTGAAACAATACAACTAAGCCTTCCTTTGTATCTGTTACTTCATTTTATTAACATAATTTAGGGAGATGCTATTCTTCTGTAGCATTACTAGACTGTACATATCAAACCCTCTAATTGTTTTTGATAGTCTATTATTCTTTATGCTATAGATCACAAAGGTAGGGCTAGTCAGTCTGCTTTCCCCCAAGCCAAAAAGAGCTTTCCAAGTTAAAAAAAAAAAAAAAAAAAATCACTGGAAATGAGGACCCGAAATCAACAGTATTTATGCTGAGAAGTCCTGATTGAATGATAAGCAACTATTCACACAAAATATGGCTTACTTTGGTATAGGATTATAAATGTTCTGTGTTGAATTGCTTGAATTTAAAGTGGTATAGAAAAGCTCAGCCCTAGCTTTTTCTATTTTGTAATTGTAACAAGCGTTCCAAAAATAATTGTGACACAGAGTAAAATGGCAAATGAATAAAGAGTTATGAACTTCACTTTTCTTTAAATCAAGGTGTATTTTTCTGAAAGATAACATATCTTTATAGCTGTACAAAACCCCTCTCTCTGGCCTCCTCTCCTGTGGGGTTTGAAGGCTGAACACAGTATACAGCTGGTCAGTTACTTAAATACATGAGTGCATGAAAAAAATTAGCAAGTACTTGAGAGGCAAAAGAAGTGATAATCATCCCAGATCGTAATCTATCATTTTGTTTATCATGACAAATACGGCTTTCTAAACAAGCACAGAATTTCTAACCTTGTTTTTCAATCCATGCAACCAGAAATGCATCAAAAACGAACAAACAAAAAATAAAGTCTCCACAGTTCTAGAAACAGCTAATTCTTTTCTTGCTTTGAATCCTGGGCAGGCATTTTTATTCAATACACTAAAATTTTTATCAGTTTTATTCAGACTTTTTACACTATTTGATTAGAATGGCAACACTGAGCCTACTCTAATAAAGATGAAAATAACCAAGAAAGTTATTTAATTAAGATAACCTCTTACTTACAACAACTGACTTAATGGTTTACCGTTTTAAAAGGACAACAACTATATGCAGTACATCTTACATTACTAGGATGGATTTTGCATAGCTGCCCATTTATTACAGTGAGAGTCTGTGTGTTGTCCGTTATACATAACGGACAGTCAAAAAAGGGAAAAGAAAACACAGAAAACCAAAACCCAGCAACGTGCATTTTACCTGCGTTGATATAGAAAAGCACTCCCTTTATTGCAACTATAGACATATGCAAAAAGAGCGCCTCCTATCCATCAACTTCTTCAAATTAAATTTAATTTCAAATTCACTGTGCTTTTCTCCACAGAGCTTGAATATAAAGATTTGCTTAAAAGCTACAGCGGAGTTGATCAAGATGCTCCAATTGAACAGCTTCTGCTGTAGAAACATCTCAGCCCTTCCTGTTAACCGAGGGTGCTCCTTTCTTTAATCTGCCATGAATCAGAATTCACTCTATTACTGCCTGTTTAAGCTTAGCTTTATTTTACCATACAGAAAATGAGTCCGAGTTCCTGTTGTTTCTCAGTTTTGTAATATTTATGGGAGAAATTAACTGTTAGGCAGTATGACTCTCAAAAGAGTTTAATATAAATCAAAGAAAATAATCAGGGAAGTTAAAATATTGCTGAAAAAATTTCAATATTCCTTTCATGGAAATTGGAATTAAAAACAAAGCTAAGTCAAGTTTTTACATATCCAAATTAAGCTATGAAGGAAAATCATCTTAATAAAGGATAAGTAAGTAGTCTAGCTTTGGATGAAGACAGACTTCTATAATAGCTTCAAGTTTTTCAGCATTAATTGCAAAGGACATTTCTCATCGGTTAAACAAACCAAATATACATTTTGTAATCTCCCCAGTAACGAGGAGCAGCTCCTTACCAAGCATCTGAAATATCAAAATTCTGTCTATGAATCACCATCCCACTATAAACTTTCCACTGACATCCAATAACATGTTGAACTACTCAACTCAACTTTCCTAACATTTTAGGTCTATAAACAAAAGAAAGATGTTTATAAAAGAGAGCCTACAATTTCATGTGTGAAAGACTGCATAAAAGGCTTCTAATTCCATAAACTGAAAAATTCTGATTAATAGCACATACATCATAGCTACAGCAAAACAGCATTATAGCATAGGTATACAGTTAAAACACTAATTTACGTGAAAGTAAGCAACCAATATTTAGACTTACCCTGTTCCTGACAAAAAGTTTAGAAATATTTAGATAAAAAGTGGGTGCCTCAAAACAATTGAGAATAATAACCGAAATAAACTGCTGCTAAGCGAATGCCATCATATCTGCAGTTCCATAAGAGCTATCTGTCTCACTTACGTCAACTACCCTATGTAGCTTTCTCATTCTATGCAAGCAACCTTACCTTACTCGGTACAGGATGTGTACTTGATCTTCCATCAGATGATTTTGATGAAGAGCACATACTATCACTAAAAACTGGAGCCACCTAAAAAGTTTCACAAAAACACTGAATAAAAGTGTATTGAATCATGGCAGAATACCATCCAACAAAAAACAAGATTATCATCCGTGCACATGCAATATGCAAATTGTGACACTGTGCTGCTATGTTAGGAAGTCTATGACATCTACTTCCAAAATTAAACTTTGGTTGAGGTACTAAATACAACTTGAGTGGGGAGGATTCTCTTTCAAACCACAGTCATGACAAAGGCTAATCAAATGTTATTAGATGGACTTCACTGTTTAACAACTTCATTACATAGTCCATGAAAAATATTACTCTCACTGCTGTCGGCTAGTTCAATACTTTTTCATATAGATACATATTTTTAAAAACTAAAAATATCTAAAGAACTATTTTAAAACTTTAATGAAATCAACTCTAGGCCAACGTTTTCACGTTTTAATAAAACTGGAAATATGCTAAAGATAAAATAGGTACTAGTTAGGAGTGTTATTTGACCACGCTAGAAATAAGCGGCATAGTGTTTTGCTCCATTTATCTGGGTTCACTTTGTGTGAGTAGTAGAATATTAGTAGTTCAAGAGGAGTAGAATAGTATTAAGAGTAGTCATAGTCATTAGGAGTAGTCACAGTCATTACCTTTCAGCACTGTATCCTGATTCGGCATGTTAAAGGCTTTCCTGTTATACTAATTTACTTTAATAATAAAGGCTTGGAACAGTTTAATACTATAGCTTCAGTCAAGTGTTCATAATTTCAGTTTATTTTTCACAATAATCAAAAGCCATTTGGTTTTCTAAAAATATTAGAATATCTTATTATTCAAAAAGAAACTCTGACATGCAAGAGATGACAAAGAATAACGAGTTACGTCTATTTATGAATAAAAAAGTGAATTAAAAAAAATTATAAACAACAAAAGGAATACCACATCTTAACAGTACTTACCTCTCCACTGCCTGAAATCTTTTTCTGTTGACATTTTCTAACAACTTCCAACAACAGGGGACCACCCACAGTACCTTCTGCTTCTATAATTCCCAAATCTCGCGCTAAGTTTTCTCGGCCCTCAAGGCCATTTAGCTAGAAAAAAATTACAACACATAAATAACTATCAGAAAACACAACATATTTTGTAATGTAACTCCTAAAGCTTTTTGATTGCATTTAACACAACAACAATCTGACTAAACAGTCATTAGGACTTCCTGCTGTGCGTGGAATAAAGTATTAATAGCCTATTGCATCATTTAGTCCTGATATGTACACGAATTTATCATAGACCATGCAAAGCTGTTTTAAATATACGAGTACTCATCATGACCACATTTCAGTATTTAAAGATTCACACAGTCCAAAGACTTTAGCCTATCACCTTTAAAAGTGAATCCTAGCATACTCAGCCAATGGTTCCACCAAATTCAAAGATGTATTTCAAATAATGATGGAGAGTCTCCTCTTCTGTGCGGAAAGAAGTACAGCAGCATAGGTCAACATTTACTTTTGGTCTCTATTTTACTTAAAGTACCATAGTTTTGGACACAAAAAAGGGAAGAGTAATTCTCAGTTATCAGCAAAAAGTTCTCAAACTGATAAGAAAAAAATTAAAGAAAAAGACACTTCTCTAAAATCAGCTTCACATTACAGCAAAAGGAGAATGCTGCAACAAATCCACGTTGGTTGGCAACACTGAAAATGGCACCAGTTTATTTTGAACTCTTACAGTGATTTAATGACCCTTATTACCAAAACACTTAACTGATGCATAGAGGATAAACAGACAATACAATAGACCGCACAGAGACAGGGGCTAGTACAAGAAAACAAAGTAACATTGTTCAGCATTATAATTGACAATCTCAGCAAACATGCCTTACTTTGGCCAAGTTTCATATATGCTCTGCAATACAGAAAAATGTTTCAAAATGGCACAAGATGCTTTTACTGAAAAAAAGAAGGGAGTGTTTCAAAGAGCATGAAATGCCTTTACTCATGTGAATGAAGCGCTCCTCCCAACAACGAGTGGCAACATGAGAGAAAGCACGACTCTTCTTACTCGGTAGCATGAACCTGAATGAGGTAATACAGAGATATACTACACAAAGCTTTCTATGGAGACTGAGGGTAAAGTAACAGGAAAGGCCCCATATCATATTTTAGGCTCAAAGAACCTGCAAGACTTGTACGTGGGCATTTGGCTCCGTCCTAAAATCCAGGCTAAAGTCAAAAATCTCATAATACACTTCAGTGACGAGCATGATGGCAGTTGTCCAGAAAAATTAGCAAGATGGTAACACTGGGGGTTTGGAAATGTTAATATGAAAGACCGTTAGAATACTTAAAAATACTTACTTCCAAATAGGGAAACTAAAAATCACCAAGTAACCTATCCATATGAATTTAAAAAGCTATCATATTTTAAACTATTTAACGCATAAAAACTTGTTTTCAAATAAAACCCAGAACTAAAAGTATTCATTCACTACAGCTAACATTTCAAACTACTCAGTCACTTTTGGTCTATGACTACAGAAATTCTTAATATCCAGATTTCAATTAATAACTTCTCTATGGAAAGTATGTTTACAGAAATTGTCAAAATTAAATAGAGTAAATAAACTAGAAGTAAACAGATTTCAAATGAGATTATACTTTGAGAAGTTACTCTCAAAGTAACGTTCTAAGAGTCCATGTTCACTTCATTTCAATGAATTTAATTGAGTTTTTTGAGGCTATAAATTAAAATCTTCCTGTAAACTCAACCTAGGTTTGAAAGTTTGATCATTTTTCCATCAGTATCCACAGAAAGCCTTCTGCAAAACAAATTATACTCTTATTTACACACGTGAAATTTCATTGCTTCCACAGAGTTTGAAAAAGCATAACCATCATTTTGTAAATAATTACATTGCACAACAAGAACTAATTAAGTTCATATCCTAGGCTAACAAAGTAAAATATCAAATAGCAGTTTTGAGTACATATGTTGAGTTTAGTAATTATGTGCTGGGAAGAACAATGATGGTGTCAGACATGAGTGAAAAAACACCATTTTTCAAAACACTTTAAAATCCATTATGTTGAAAGCGTTCCTTAGTACAGAAGATGCCTCTTTGTACAGATCTGTCCTAAGGCGATAAATGAAGCTACGGATATTTAGCAAAGGATAAAAATATATGGGATTTTATATGTTTAAGCCCCCCAAAAGAAACATGGTCTTCTGAGAAACAAAAAAGATCATTTATATAACCACAGTTTTCAATTGTTTTAGTCCATCCTCAAGGCATTTCCCTGGTCATCTTTGACAAAACTGTGAAATCAATATCCAATTCAAATGAAAAAAAAATTATTGTTCAAATAAGAAGTCAATTAATTGATTTAACAGAATCAAATTTTTAATTTATTAAAGATACTTAAACTGACAGTAAGAATAAAAATGAATATTCAACAGGTAAAGAGAAACTTTTCTGTTACATGAAATTAACTTTCTAACCTAAAGCTTAATAGGAAAATCTTCACATCATAAAGAGAGACATAAACATACGTTATCTTATGGAAAAACTCTAAACCAATATCACAAGCCTAAAAAAGTATATCTGTCATCTCTATCTGCATGTAGTCTTTTGTTTCACTGAAATTTCTCTCCAGGCAGATTCACTGACATTGTTCTACTCTTTCAGCAACAATACTAAGTTAATAACATAACACGATAAAATTATCATTTAAAAAAAAAAAAAAAGTTGCACGTGTTTTCTTTTTCGGTCTTATAAATCCAATTTAGGGTTTCACAAAATGTATTCATTTGTTAATTCAAAATTAACATTTTATCAAGCATTCATTTTTGAAAAGGCAATACTAATTCATATTAGCACATTTTCCTGGATAATATGTCTCTATTTTACAAACTGTTTATCAAAAATGATTCAGAATAAATACAAGTGGCTTAAAAAAAATGTATAATAGCATCTGTAGTCATTGCCATCCACTCCAAACAATCAGTCTAGCATACAATGAAAACAAGCATCTTTCTTACTGTGCTTGATTCAGGCTGAAAAACAGCTAATGTAAAATCAAGATTGAAAAATCGTAGGAATTCTGCAACAAGACCAGCTACCAAGCGACCTAAAAGGGAAACGGGAAAAGTAAATATACACTAGACAGAAGCATTTCTTACTTCAAAGATCTAACATTAATTTGGCTTCAGCATGCACATCTACACTGAACCGACGCTCTACAAACATCATTTAGACATTTAGCAAGCTTTGACCAACTAGTTTTCCAGCTGCAAGTTCACACTAGATCTAGTTCATAATTTGTGTACCAATTCATTAATTTCTAACTCAGATCAGTAAGGCATCAAATGTGAATTACTGAAGTCAGTAATATAGCAGGAGCATAAACTGAGGCTGCTTAAAAACAAAAAACTTAAGCGTGAATTTTTTAACTACTGAGTTATTTTAAAGTATCATTTTAGCATTTATCCTAGGCTTGCATTCAGTACTGTACCTCTACAGTCTGTTTTCACAGGTTACTGTTTCTATTGGTCTAAAGTGGCTTTACTGAGTTAGCATAATCATAATTCATCGTGAAATGTGTTAGTCACCTTAGTTACAAATACAGCAATTTCATCAATATTAACGTCAAAAATTCTATACCACATTCTATTCTGAAAGAGGCGAGCAGTAATTATGGCATCTATTTGACAGGAACAGGAGCACACTTAAAGTGTCAGGATTGTACTTCTACTACAATACTCAAACATTTAATTCTTTCATCCCTGATTTTTTTTTTAAATTCTTGAGAGGTAGAATAAACAGAAAATGCTTACCATCCTTTGTACTCAAAAAATTTTTCAAACTTTCATTTACCAGAGGTGTTTTGTTCTGTCAAAAAAATGAAAAGGTAATTAACAACAACATCCTTGTACTACAAAGAAATTAAAAAAAAAAAAAAACTAGTACATGTTTTTGTGTACAGGATTCCTTACAATGCCCAGCATGTGTAATTCACTCCAGCTATATTTACATGGGCACATTAAGATTGTCTCAGTATTTCTATTGTCATAGCTACAGAGCTAAAAGATTTGTACTCAAATTCTTAACAGCATACTGATTTTTATTTACTTCAGAATTAAGAAAGGTAAACCACGCAGTTAATTGCCAAACCACTCCTATAATATAGTGCCAGGTTTATTTAAGAAAACTTATTCCACCTTTCTTTCAAAATGTGTATTTACAAATCATCCAGACAAAATGTGGAGTACATTAATTAGCAGTTCACATGTTAGTACTAATCTTCCATTAATTAAAAGACCTTCCAACATATTATAAAAAGGTTTTCCTCCCTTGTTAGATTTGTCCTCTTCAACTTTGATTTTTAAACTGGAGGGGGAAAAAAAAAATCAATTTGCTATGTTTCGCTTGGAAATTCCTGAACATTTTTGATAAAGACAAATTCTAAATGCCATTCCTAACATATCAAAACATTTTGGGTTTGCACTGAACTAATGGTTTCTAGAGAACACTAAGAAAAGGATCTGGTATAGCTAGTTGTCACTACAGTTATAAGTAATAACAAACACAAGAAGCTCTTTGCCAATAAAGCTTTTTTTTTTTTTTTTACTTCCTTAATATTTAGAAATTTAGAGTAGTGATAAATATTACTATATTTTTAGTGTCTCTAGAGTGTAAAGTAAAATATCATGATACTTTTAAACCTTTTGAACACAGGGTCAGTTGAGATCAACCACAGCAAGTCTCTCTCCCTCCAGCCCTATTACTCTCCAGATAGCCTGGGAGGTTGTTCTCCTATTACTTCACAATGTGTTGAAAAGAGATGGTAAGAGGATGCATGTTCTGGGGATATCACAGAAGTGTGTAAGCTCATTCCAGGGAGCAACCCCTTCAGGGAGCAACCCCTTCAGGGAGCAACCCCTTGCCATCCTTACTACCCTCACAGTAATGCCTGTTTCGCTCATACATTTTTCCAAAAAGAACACAACTAATCAACTTGCAGAAGAAAGGGACAGTTTTCCATTCTTTCACTTTTCTCTCTAGGTCTGGAAAATGGATAGAGATACAGCTAGCTAGGCAACGCTAGGGAGCTGGGAGAAGCAGGGCAGAGGACACAAAACAGCACCTAGATACCAAAGCAGTAACGTTACTTAATCATTTTGGTATCACGTACACTTAAAGTTGTGATGTTGCCACAAAATCAGTATGTAGGCCATCCCTAATTCAGAGTTCTTCCTTAAATAAATAATTCATCCTGCAGTAAACCTTTAACATCCTTATAAGAAATAATGAAAGCATTAGCATACTTGGCAACTGTCCACATTCATTTTTTTTCCATGACATACTTCTTGAAAAAAAACTACTATAATATTTTGTATTTCAAAATACTTTATTCTGATTTGATAAAATCTTGATCAGTCAACTGGAAACATTTTAAGAGAAATAGTCCCTGGAAAAAATAATGGTTATTCTGATCAACTGGATAGAAGCAGTATGAAAACACCAGAGAAACAGTTACTTAAAACTACAGTTTTAAAAGGCCAAGTAAAAATTCCTATTTCTAAGTACCAGGAAACCATGATACTCCAGTTTTGTTTTTTGGGTTTTTTTTAAAAGCATTATGCTCCTACATAGCAATACAAATATTTTTCTTGACACTTTTCACAACTAGAAGGTATTAAGACTATTATTTTTAATTTTACACAAAGCACTGACAAGAAGCTGAAACCAAAAAACGCTTTACTTTCTTACCTCTACTTTCTCTTGCTCTTCTAGTGCCAAAAAAACAGCTGCTCGCAACTCTGCCTGCAAAATTAAGAAGAAACAATATTTCTACAAGCACAATTTTTCACTATGCAAATAGAATGCAAAAAGCCAGCAAGCAGCTTAACATCCATTTGTTTCTCCTTAAGCAACAGGGCACTGATTGTAATCTACATGAAAGCAATTAAGACATTTAAAACCGCAAGCAATGTGACTGGAGGCTGAGAAAAAAGAGCTTTCAGCCTGAAAAGCAACAAACTGGGAGGGGGAAAAAAAAAAAAAAGTCTGATTTATATAAAACTTACGGCATTATTTCTTCACACACAAAAAGATTCCAAACTACCTATATTATCGCCTATTTGTTCTATCTGAAAGCTGGAAATCCAACTCTTTGAGGCCTCTTTGAAACTCGTACCATTCATTTCAACTCTTTCAAGAAACACTTACAAATAGCTTATGATAACACATTTTTAAAAATTAATATTAAAATATACAAATTAGTATGAATCTTGTTAGATCATACCTGAAGAAACAGAATTTCCACATGGAAAAAACAGCATAATTCAGAGCATTCAAATATTTTTGGAATGAGATTTTACCTAACTTTTTTTTTGTAACATCTTAATTTCAAGAATCATATTTCTTCTAAGGCATTTTTTAATATTAAAAATTAAGGCTTGGCAACTTTTTTTAAGCTATGTCTCTACTTCTTTTATTGAACATTCCAAATGGACAACAAATATTAAATCTGATGAAGAAATCTGCCACTTCAGCCAACTCATAATCAGACAAATTCTGTCCAGTGGATACACTGTGGTAATGAACTATAAAAGCCAGCACTACTGTGCATGCCAGTTTTCTCAAAAACAAACAAGGAGCAGG